CACAGCGAGAACGAGACGAAAACGAGACGAAAACAACGCAATGTCTATCATTAAGGATTCAAGCACGGTTGAACAGGACGAGCGCGGAGCATACGACACCACGGGTGTTCCGAAGCCTCCGCCCCGTCCAAAGCCGAGATAAAAGATGACAATGTTTGTACTGTCTAAACCCTCAGAGTTCACTCAATTCTAACCTCAGTCAGTATGGCCCATGCAGAAGCAGGAATCCTGGAATCTGATGCATGGATTGGGGGGCAAGGGCAGAGAAATCGCATTCAACATGTTGATCGCAGTTCTTCACATGGGGACAAGCACTGTTCACACACATGAGTACAAGTTAGCGCTCTTCAATCAGTATTTTATGGAGTCTTTGCGGTACTCGCGATTTAAGTCATACGCAGGTTAATCAGAGTTGGGCGTGAACTTGTTGTAATTTGACCCAGTGCTCTGGTTATCTGGGTTGTGTTAAAGTCGCAGAGAGTAGACCAGACTTCTGAATCACGAACAATGCCGATCAGCAGATATTGTCTCGAAAACCACGGCCAATAACGTCTTTGCCAGCGAGTCTATCTGAGATTATGTCAACCGCTTTGTTGCGTTGCGAGGTGTTTTATTGTCAACACCGCGAAGATTGTATGCCTTACATGCAGGACATCAGAAAACAAAGCGTACTGGAGAGGAGGCCGTTGGAAAATCTGCACAGGTACCGGATAGTTGTGATCACGGGCGGCTCATATAACCCTTCATAACAGGTGCTGAAGCTGCAGCCTCGAGTGAGGGCATCGCAACAACAGTATGCCATCCCACTACTAACAAGCTACGAGACGAATCTGTCATGCGTCGCCCGGTTCAACATTAATCCATGCGCGATTGATGAAGGGTATCGTCAGGGTCGCCTTTTGTCTTCACAACAGCCATGTATTCTCTTCCTACGAAATGTTTGATTGAATTGCCATTTCAACTGTAAGCCGAACCACCTCGACAGTTGGAAAATGACGACGATTGTTCTGGCTTCAAAAACCTACGCATCCTTCGTCAAGTCCAGCCTGATCTCTCTCATTTATTCTACCACCGGCCGACAGAACAGACAATTGGCCCTGTCTCATAGCTCATCATCGCTGACTACGTCAAGGGACTCCTCACGATGCGAGGTCATCGCGAACGTTTTGACACATGTGCAATGCCCAGTAATCCCCAGGAAAGCTATGTCCCCTTGCGCAACTTCAAGTCCGATCTTCCCATTGGTCCCTGCATGCCCTTCCAATTGATCAAGACGCAGGAAAGTTCCGTTCGACTGCTGCATTACTATAGGACAGTGGCGGCAACAGCAGCAGTTGTCTTTGACGTAAATATAGTCTAGTTTCGGACCAGCTGGCCCATTCTTAACGTCAGGGGAGCCTTGGCCGCCCCTGTGGCCATTCTCCATCTGCAGAGCCTGATAGAGTGGTGAGAAGGACGCCCACATCTGGCCATGACCAGTTTCATGTCTCCTTGTCGGGCGGTGACCGAGGGAGATTGCCTCAGAGCCTGCCAGCTGGTGAATAGGTGCATTGAGTACAGAAGATGTATCCACGCGGAATCACTCACCACCGTTTCTGGCCATTGCCATCAGTGCGAGTGCAGCTTGACCTATCTCTATATATTCTCGATATTGAAAATTATCTAAAAGCCCCTTTAGCGATGTTCGCAATCGTCTTTGATCTCACGCATGCCGGGGTAGGCTTCGGCCGCACTAGATGACGGACATCTTGCGTGCACGGGGACGACTCAAATGTGTCAGTCCTTGGTCGTCAGATAGGAACGTGAACTTACATTCATGTTTATGTTTGTCAAAGACAAGCTGAGCGACGTCGTGTCTGAAATAGAACCGATATGCAGCGCTACAGCTCAGTATGATGACTGATACTAGTCCAACAAGCGCAGCGTGGCTAGATTCGCGCCATTACCTTGAGGGATGTGTCCAGAATGAAGCAGGCCGAGGCCATCGGTGATCTTATGTGTTTCTGTTTCCCGATGGGTCCCGTTCGACTATGTTCGAGCTCCGCCTCTATTGGCTCTGCGGCCACTTCGCTGGCGTCGTTTTACCTAGACTGCATCGCCGCCATTCATCCTCAACTCGGCAATGAGTCATCAGGAGGCACAGGGAGATGCGAACGGAGTGAATGAGCCCTCGCACGGGAGACTGCGCGTGAGCTTAAGTAAGCCGACCGCCACCATGATGCACTAACTTCATTTACCAGTTGACAGACTGCGACCTGGACGCAAAAAAAAAGGTCGATGTAATCTCCTGACAAATCCAATTGCAACGTCTGGTCAGAGCCTCCGAAAATCTCAGCTCAGCCATTCCGGGCCATTCGGTCACTCCTGAATAGGGTGGTCATTGAAACGTCAATCAATTTCAAGGATTCCATCTCGGTTTACCAGGCCGCGCGACGTTGAGGATGCAACACGGCAACAACGAGCATTTGCGGACCGATCGTCCCACGACATGTCGTTGAAGACTCGGAGCTGGCTGGCCAATCGCGGGGCTAGCGGGCTGCGTTCGCTGCCAAGGGCATACTGGCCAATCCGCGCCTTGAGCGGCCTACTCTGACAACCTCTGCTGGTGGGTGGAGATTGATAGCTCTTGGAAAAGTGTGTACAGTATTGTGCATACATGTGATACAGAGGTTCGCAAAACTGGTGTCCGTTTGGCAACTATGTTCTTTCCGTTGAGCACGGACCTTCCACTCCTGGAACGGCTTAGCTACATTGCAGGTGTCAGGGGTACCTTAACAGAGACTCTGCTACATCAGCTTACGGGAGCCCGACATGGCTGACGGAACAAATCACTCACAGCTGGCCTTCATGAAAGGAAGTCAGCATGACGCAAGCCAAAAGCAGCTGATTGTGTGCGTTTACAGCCAGCAGCGTCAGCAATAAGCGGCTTCCTCCAACTTATGCAACGCATTATAAAGGTATCGTTGTATCGGAGCTGCCATTTCGTCCACGCAGTAAGCAGCTTATAGCACCAGTAATACTTCTACTTCGCGCCTCGTCCAGAGCACCAATCTGCTCCAGGATGTCCGCGATGGTGCTGTTGCGTGTCGATACTAACTCTCGGTTTGGGCTACCAAGAGGTCCATATTGGCGCACGGCGATGTGTGAAGAACTGCCTTTAGAGGCAATCTACTGTCAGAAGTAAGTTGCTGCGTTGCTGCTAGAGACGATACTGCAGGCGCTGAGCTGCTTCCGTCAAACGACCCAAGATCAGGCCAGGTATCCCAATCAAAATCGAATGGAGAGTCATTGCGAACCATCGTCGCGCAGTAGCCCGAACGAATGGTGGCGATGACCTTTGACGCCGCCGCTGAGGTGCGGGAGATGGACGGGTGGGAAATGACGCGTCAGGCAGGCGACACATGGCCTCGGCTAGGCCTTTGCCAAAAGTAGCTAGTCTGGAAAGCCCATGACTCAGCTCATCTATACTGGATACGGCATCCACTCCACACTTCCAAGCTGCCCCGCATTTCGTGTGTCATCGTGAGATCGCGCACCCTCTGAAGCTTAATTAATAAGTAGCCCATAATCGTCTCTAGTTCGGGTCGGGCCGTATCGTCCCACCATGGAACGGTTGAAATATTTAGGTTCAAAACCTCCAGGATATTTTTCGATATCGCTTGATATGTATGGTTCTTCTTCACTGCCGACTACTGATCTGTGCGTGCGGATACTCACGATGGTTCTCAAATAGTCCCCGTCTTCCACAAGGTTGCGGCATGTCACCGAGAAACCGGGAACCAGGATTTGGCTTGGCAAGCATGAAGGGACGGTTGGAGTATCCTTAAATCCAGCATTAAAGGGGTTGCACCACTCGCGCGCTGCTATTCGTCGGGATTAGTAACAGACAAAGGAATATCCCTGACTTTAAAGACAAACTTGACACGATGAATCGATTTGATATTGTGCCGCCTGAACGACGAAAAACGCCATTGCTAAGAATGAACCAACTAATAGGCCTGGCTGCTGATGATGTAGTTAGCAGAGTGCGTGACAATGCAGTAACTGGTGCGGACCAGGTCAAGTGGCGCCATTGGAGCCACGTGGCAGCGATGATCTTACTAGACGACAGAGCAGGCAGACTTGGCCCCACAGAAGATGGCGAGATGCTGATGGACTCAAGCGCACAAATTTATCGATGGCTACTGTATGATGGCCAAGTGCCTTGCTGGAAATGAGGCTTGAAGAGGGTGTTTGAGATTGGGGCTGTGGGAACTATTGACGTTGTGTGACCTGTCTTGGCGATAACTAGGCCTCGATGTTGACGTCCGGACAAATTCTGGTGGCTTCATGAGTCCTTGGCCTGCATACGTAGTAAGGCAGATTTGATAGATAAGCGCTGCTGCCTGCGCCTTTGGCCTTGGCAAATGCATCTCAGGCGTCAACACATCTTGGGAAGATGATCTTCAGAATATGATAGGCCGAAGTGAAACAATGAGGGGTCGAGCCCTGCATTGCCACCATTTATCAGCATTGTGCAATTAACGTGGGGCTTATCTAGCACCTTACGTTCAAGTATCAGGTCTTCCCCTCATAAGGCTCTAGAATCAATGCATCTGTGGTCTGTATAAGCCCAGAATAGTCGGAGTTCCAATCCTCCTCACTTGCTACGTTAATCACTCGCCAAAATTTAACTTAAAGCTGTGATTGTTGGTAGCTAAATAACGAAAGATGGACGATCCGAATACCAAAAGGGCAGGCGATGGAAATGATAAGAGCGGTGCAGACAGCAACAGGGGCCCGCTCAAGCGGGACCACAGCTCAGAGCCTGGTAACCCCTTCCCCTTGGAGTTTTGGCCGCCAGTCCTTAGTAGTCCTCTCTAATGTTATTGAAAGATTCTGGTGCCGGCGACTTCCAACCCCAAAAAAACACAAATCGTGATGTTGATCGGCCAGAGAAAGATATTTATATTGCAGTAGAGGACTATAGTGTAGGCTGGGTCTGTGCCCTTCCGTTGGAGATGGCTGCTGCGAAAGGGATGCTTGACCAGGTTCATTCGAATTTGACCCGGCAGGATCCAGCCGACCATAACAGCTACGTCCTGGGTCAGGTCCAAGGCCACAATGTCGTCATCGCCTGCCTACCTGCAGGCATCTATGGAACGACACCAGCTGCCACAGTCGCGAAGGACTTGCTGCGGACCTTCAAGTCAATACGGTTCGGCTTGATGGTTGGAATCGGCGGTGGTGTACCGTCGCGAAAACATGACATTCGGCTGGGAGACATCGTGGTTAGTCAACCCGCTGAAACAAGCGGAGGTGTCATCCAGTACGATCGGGGGAAGACGGCGCAGGAGGGAGAGTTCCAACGCACAGGATCGTTGAACACACCACCTCAGGTCCTCTTAGCCGCCCTGGGTCGTCTCCAGGCCGATCACATGATCGAAGAGAGCAGAGTCCCTCAGTTCGTGTCTGAGCTTATCAGCAAATGCCGAAAAGTCATGAAGAAGAAGTTCAGTCATCAGGGCGCTCCCCACGATTATCTCTTCCAAGCAGAGTACGACCACGTCGATCCAGACTCTACTTGTGATAAGTGTGATCACAAACAAATGATCCAGCGGGAGGACAGGGACGACACGTATCCAGTCATTCATTACGGCAACATTGCCTCAGGCAACCAGGTAATCAAGCATGGAAAGACACGCGATAAGTTAAGCAAAGAGCTTGGGGTACTCTGTTTTGAGATGGAGGCTGCAGGACTACAAGACTTGCCATGCCTGGTCATCCGTGGTGTTTGCGACTACGCGGACTCTCACAAGAACAAGCGGTGGCAAGAGTACGCAGCTGCAACAGCGGCCGCTTTTGCGAAGGAGCTTCTGTCGGTCATACCGCCGGATAGGGTCCTGCAGGAGAAGCCTATACCGCAGTTAGTGTCTGGTAAGTAGATAATTCCTAGCCTGAATGTTTTGGTTACTTCTTCCTTCTATGTATGGAATTCTTTAGTTGAGCTTATCTCCCTAATTGAAGTTTTCTTTTAGGAACATTTAGGAACTAATACCTCGTGCAGATCCCCACCTTCATAAGCTTGTTTCTAATACAAATACGGCTATCTCGGCACACACGCAGAAGCAGGAGGTCAGATACGAAAGCCAAAAACAGGCTGATTGCCATCGAACATTCAAAACGAGTACATATGAGCAGTTCAAGAACATCAACCCTGATCGAGTCCCGGACACATGCAAATGGGTGTTGGGGCATCCGCTGTACCAAGCATGGCAGCAGAGCCGTCACGATGATCTCCTTTGGATTTCCGCCGACCCAGGCTGTGGAAAGTCTGTTTTGGCCAAGTCTCTTATCGATAGGGAGCTCCATTCTACAAACCACCATACAACTTGCTATTTCTTCTTCAAGGACAACGACGACCAAAACAGCCTCGCGACAGCCTTATGTGCCCTTCTTCATCAGCTTTTCAACTCTCAGCCACGCCTCATCCGTCACGCTACGATGGCCTTTGAAAAGAATGGAGAGAAACTGCAGACTGAAGTGGATGAGCTGTGGCGTATCCTCGTAGCTGCTGCTACGGATGATGAAGCAGTCAATGTCACTTGTGTTCTAGACGCTCTAGATGAGTGCTGCCTCCAAGACCGACGAAGGACGATCAGGCTTCTAACAAGCTTTTATAACCGACAACCGACATCTACGAGAAAGTTTCAACTCAAGTTCCTAGTGACCAGTCGACCTTATCAGGACATCGAATCTGAGTTTCGCGACATACCCGAACCTCAAACGATTCGTCTTGCTGGCGAAGAGAGTAATGCTGATATCAGCGAGGAGATCAACCTTGTTATCAGACACAAGGTAGCCACAGCCGGGGATAAACTTGGAATGAGTCAGGAAGTGCAAAACGTGTTGCAAGAAAAGCTCTTCTCAGTTCCGCATCGAACATATCTCTGGCTTCACCTCGTAATGGATGAGGTTTCTAACAGCCCGGTGTGGCCAATACATGCGTTCATCAAGACGATCAACACTCTTCCAACCAAGGTGGAAGATGCGTATGAGAAGATATTAGGCCGCCTTAACTCCAATCAACGAAGAGAGGCGCAGACTCTTCTTCACATCGTTATGGCCGCCCGCCGACCGCTCACGCTCTTGGAAATGGCTGTGGCGTTCCAGTTGGCCCCAGATTCACCAACTATTCAGGCACACGAGGACCTCGATCTCAACTCCATCAATCTCAAGCTACATATACGGCAGCTTTGCGGGCTTTTTGTGTTTATCAACGACGACCGCATCTATCTAATACACCAGACAGCGAAGGAATTCCTAGTCGCACAGGATATTCCCGCCTCTTTAACAGATGGCTGTTGGAAGCACTCCCTCTACATACCAGATTCAGAGACGATAATGACGCAAATTTGTGTTCAATATTTGTCATTTAGGGATATTCCAGATGGCAGGTTCCGTGTTGAAGGACGGAAGCCAGGCATCGATACAACGCAAAACCCGTTTTTGGGATATTCTGCGATATACTGGTCTTCACACTTGCGAGGCGCAAATCACCCAACAGAGGAGGGCTTGCAAAAGCAGATCTTGCGGCTGTATGACATGCAAAATCAGCGATTCGAGACATGGTTCTCAATGTTTTGGCAAACAAACTATCAATACCAATCGAGAGATGGCCTTAACAGTGTGCATCTGGCTGCACTGAATGGCCATGACGAAGTGTTATTGAGACTACTTCCCTCAGACAACGATGCTTTGAACTCTAGAGACAACGCGGGTCGCACACCGCTCATTTGGGGTTCTTTAGAGGGCCACGACAACATCGTCCGGATGCTTCTCGACAAGGGCGCAGATGTCAACGCGCAAGGTGGCGCCTATGGCAACGCTCTTCAGGCTGCATCACAAGGAGGCCACGACAACATTGTCCGGATGCTTCTCGACAAGGGCGCCGATGTCAACGCGCAAGGTGGCGCCTATGGCAACGCTCTTCAGGCTGCATCAGAAGGAGGCCACAACAACCTCGTCCAGATGCTTCTCGACAAGGGCGCAGATGTCAACGCTCAAGGTGGCCGCTATGGCAACGCTCTTCAAGCTGCATCACAAGGAGGCCACGAAAATATCGTCAAGATACTTCTCGACAACGGCGCAGATGTCAACGCTCAAGGTGGCCGCTATGGCAACGCTCTTCAGGCTGCATCTTCAAGAGGCCACAACAACATCGTCCAGATACTTCTCGACAAGGGCGCAGATGTCAACGCTCAAGGTGGCCGCCATGGCAACGCTCTTTATGCTGCATCACAGGGAGGCCACAACAACATCGTCCAGATGCTTCTCGACAAGGGCGCAGATGTCAACGCGCAAGGTGGCGACTATGGCAACGTTCTTTATGCTGCATCACAGGGAGGCCACAACAACATCGTCCGGATGCTTCTCGATAAGGGCGCAGATGTCAACGCTCAAGGTGGCGCCTATGGCAACGCTCTTCAGGCTGCATCACAGGGAGGCCACAACAACATTGTCCGGATGCTTCTCGATAAGGGCGCAGATGTCAACGCGCAAGGTGGCGTCTATGGCAACGCTCTTCAGGCTGCATCACAGGGAGGCTACAACAACATCGTCCAGATGCTTCTCGACAAGGGCGCAGATGTCAACGCTCAAGGTCGCCGCTATGGCAACGCCCTTCAAGCTGCATCAGAAGGAGGCCACGAAAATATCGTCAAGATACTTCTCGACAAGGGCGCAGATGTCAACGCTCAAGGTGACCACTATGGCAACGCTCTTTATATTGCATCTTCAAGAGGCCACAACAATATCGTCCAGATACTTCTCGACAAGGGCGCAGATGTCAACGCTCAAGGTGGCCGCTATGGCAACGCTCTTTATGCTGCATCAGAAGGAGGCCACGAAAATATCGTCAAGATACTTCTCGACAAGGGCGCAGATGTTGGCAAAGACAGAAACAATGGTGCATAGCTCTTATCAGCTATTTTGAGGCCCATGCTGTTGTGTCTAGAATCTTCCATTGTACCTTTCGACACACCTTACTAGCCAGATGAAGATTCGGGCTGCTTTTTTTCATCACTTGTTGGTCTCGCAGTTCAAGATAGCGCTTAAGTGTCCTTGTATGAATCTTCCTAGAATCAACTTTCTATTCTCAAGCTCTTACTAATTCTCAGGCAGGATGCGTCGGCATCATAATTATCGAGCATCAGTTAGACAGGCAGGGGTCATTGTGTGTATATTGACGAGTATCGCGAAAGAAGAAGGGCTTTAGGAAAAAACCCGCATCTATATAATGAATGTGCGATCCCCTGGTAAAGAATATCCTTGCCGACCTTATTCATACCTCTAGTTCAGCATAAGTCAGGTTGCTCGAGGTGAAACAATTGCTGTATCGAATGAGCTGGGGCAGCCTGACAAGAGTTTCTACATGTCTGTTTAGATTGATATTTAGACAGGCAGTTAGCGTAGGGGCTTTCATAGATTGCTTGTTTCCTTCTTTCCGTTACGGTCAGCTATCCGAAAGTAGGGTCTGCTAACAGAAGTTGGGGATTGACGCAGAGATCGTACCGTGGCACTAGGTCGTAGGTCGTAGGCTGTAGTAGATCAGGTCTTCAGAAGCTAAGGTGACCAGTCTTAGCTGTTGCTTGTTCGACGAGGCGAGGAAGTCAAGGTGACAGAGGGGGTCGTTTGGCGCGTAGGTCGCCGCTATATATATTAACTATCGCGCTAGATGTCGACCGATAAGCCTACAGCTTATGCAGGTAGTAGTCACGCAAGTCTGCGTTCCGTTCTCGAGCGATGCGTCGAGCCGTTTTCTTCGTCCACGCAGCCCTTCTCAGAGTCCCACCAATCGTAGACGCTGTCACCAACGTATCAAATTCATCGCACAGAAACACTGCCATCCCTTCCAGGTACGTGTCCGGTTTTCCCATCAGTCGTTCGAATAACGCACTAAGCATGGGCGGGGTGATGTCTCTAGGGCGGCCGCCGCCGTTCGAAGGGGCTCTCGTCGCTCCGAAGCAGTCTAGCCTTTGACGGATGCGTCGCACGGCACGGGCACTACATCTCGCGGCTGTTGCAATTTCAGCGTTAGTGAAGCAGCTGTCTGTCAGCATATCACGGATCAAGTTGTGCTGCGATTGCGCAAGAGTCGGCGCCATCGTTGATGATGGAAATAGATGGACTGCGTCGCTGTTGACGATGAGAATGGGTTTGTTGACGCAAGAATCGAAAGGACACGTTGAGTCGGGTCTTTTCGGCTAAAGCTCGGCTAGAGTCACCATAAACCCCTGAAATCGCCACGCACCATTTCGTTACTGAACGCATAGACATTGACGCCCTTGCGACCGCACACCACAACGCATCCTAAACAAACCGCTCGCTCGCAGCGTCGATGCTGGGCAATCTCTTTACAACAAATAGCTGAATCGACTCAGGGCTGCGGCGTCCTTGAGATGGCCGCCCGACTTCTTCCGAAGGCGAAGGTAAGGAATACGAAAACTGCCCGTTGGGGGAAAGCTCCTCGCTAATTATTGCAGATGAACCGTCGACGCGCTTCTAGTCTAGTGTTACAATTTGATCAGTGATGATTCGACCGTACACAACATCGTTAGACTCGACGAGCACGATCTCGAGCAGACGTTGCAACCTACCTGACCGCCAACCGACTCCTGCGCAAAGAGGGATCGTGTCGAACGATCGTCATACTCGAAGTGAACCAATACCGTGTGGTATCTTGCCTCGTAACCTGACTGTTGATCTCCAGGGACGTGATGGCCTTGCGGTCTCCAATGAGGCATTAGGCATCTTTAGTTGGAATCAATAGGAAGAAGCACCGATACATGGGCGGATTGAAGGACAGAGGGCCTGCTCAATGGTTAAAAGCACGTCGTCACGCCTCGCTGTGCGCCGATATGGGCCTCCTTTGGCCTTTGGGGCCATGAACTGAGATGCGATCTCAACGCACAACGGCGTCACCGCGGATACCCTGAAGCATAAAGCTGCTCCAAACGAGGCACGAAGTAGAAGTAGGACTGGTACCCTAAGCTGCTTACTGCGTGGACGAAATGGCAGCTCTGATACAACGATACCTTCATAACGCGTTGCATAGGTTGGAGGAAGCCGCTTATTGCTGACGCTGTTGGCTGTCAACGCACACAATCAGCTGGTTCTGGCTTGCGTCATGCTGACCTCCTTTCATGAAGGCCAGCTGTCAGTGATTTGTTCCATCAGCCATGTCGGGCTCCCGTAAACTGATGTAGCAGAGTCTCTGTTAAGGTACCCCTGCGACCTGCAATGCCGCTAAGCCGTTCCAGAAGTCGAAGGCCCGTGCTCAATGGAAAGAACACACTTGTCAAGCGGACACCAGTTTTGCGAACCTCTGTATCATATGTAGCTAAGTGCTTAAAATATCTTAATAAGACGTCACAGTAATACTAAAAATAAACATCTTATCTAGATCCACCGTTAGAAGGTGGAAAAGATATTGACATTGACGGGACGTTGATTATCATTTTATATAAAGAGAATCTTTATGAGTCCTCAAAAACGCGTTTTGCTTCTACATTTGTTCATGTTTCCCTCGAAGAGGCTACCGTTATGACATCTATTAACGACCAACTATTAAGCATAGCTACTTCGTCTGAAGATCCTCTTATATCGAGTGCCAACTTGGGAATTACACTGCCTCTTCGAGTTAAGAACGCTTATCATCTTTGGAAACAACTATTTTGGGACCAAAGCTGGCTCCAGAATGCGGTTCAAAGTGGTTTCATACCAACACTCATTGGAACGGACCTTTCCAAACTGATTGAGTCAAATGACTCCATCTTTAACCAGGAAACGTATCTAGCGATAGTCTGTCTAGGGTATGACCAGGAAAACTTTGCATCATTTACGGCAAGTCTAAAAAAGCACACGCATCATACACATTGGAAATTATCTGGGTATCAAGAGGTCGTCTTTCATGACCACAAGCTCACCCTTTGCATTCGGCAAATATATTATGGGAACCTCAGTGGCGGCATAGACTGCAGCTGGCCGACGAAACTCGTATCGGGACATGGAAGAAATGCATGGTCTCATTATCTCAGCTTTGGTTGTCCAGAGGTGCAACGCACAAATGTTGCTTCATGGGAACACCTGGATAATCTACAATTACCCGGCCAGGTATCGTCTGTACCAACTGAATCTACGATTTGTAGGATGGACTTGCTCCATCGATCTCCTTGGGACAGAAAGCATCATCTAGCGCCTGTATCCTTCGTTAAAGGACCGATGTTAGCCCAAGTGGGTTGGAATGAAGAACAGAGTAAATTGGTTGAGGAAAAAGGTTTTCACGATATGCTTCACAAGAAAGCCAGAATGTGTGCGAACAAGCCGAAACCGTCCGATTGTGAGGCGTGTAGAGTAAAAGGGAAACCGCTTCAAATTTCCCTATGGTAATTGAAAACGTCAAGCATGTGTATATTAAAACCATGCATCAGGATACCGTAGGGTTCTTTTTCACTCGAGATTAGACGTGCGTCAAATTGAATATTGCCCCTTCTGTTACATGTCTGCGTCCAGTTTTGAATCGCATCGCGCAGCTGCGCGTAAGTAACTAGACGAATCTGCGTCGAATTTGCCGCATGACCCTGCTTGCAGCCAGTTCGCCTCTGCTTGGAATAAATTCGTGGGTAACAAAGCTCAGCCGCGGTTTTTGCAGCTCTGTAAAATTGTATCGTCTTCGCACGTACAGTACAGATTGGGCTAGCATTGTTTACGTTTCACGCTTCATGCATCTCTCTTTACTACAGTATGCTTTTGGGTATTCGGTCGATCTGAAATGATATTACAGAGCGGAATAATATACTGTAGTGTTTTGGTCGGGGAGCTCTCACTATCCTGATTCCGCCTCAACCGTTGGTAACCTACGAGCAGTGTCATTGAAGGTTGCTGATTTACTAACCTCGTATAGGACTCACGCATATATGTACAGGTACCTGCTTACGTCCGGTAGTGATTTGGAGTTTCTAGCAATTTCCAACGGTAAAACTCCTGAATGACCCAGGCAGCTTTGTAAATACATACTGTACTGTACATAATTAATTACAGTACGCCCGTTTAGTTGTTTAGGACTCCTATGATTATCTACGTGATCTTCGCCTTCGCTCACATCCTTGCCTTCAGAAGCTCAAACGAGTGCAATGAAGCTCTATATGTCATCTTCTACACTGCTAATCACTCCGAGTACATACAATACAGTGCAGTATTTTCAATGAAGAGTAAGATGGTTGGGATGCCGCTTCGGTATAGGAAGTAAGCTGTGCCAGATCAGAGACTGAGCACAGCCGTATGAGACCGCACTTTGTGAGCGCCCAAAATACTGTAGCATTTAATACTGAGAAGTATGAACATATTGATCGAACTCGAAACTCACGTCCACACTTACGCTTCTGTCGTCATTCTTCCGGTTGACCTCGCAATACGTACGCAGCTTCTTGCTTGACCCTCTTGTAAGCGCCCGCTCTGCGAGGAAGCGGGCGCTTGCGAGCTATCAAACATCGTAAGGCTGACGCGAAACTAGCAATTTCAAAACCAAATACGCCACCTTCCTATACCGGAACCCTGTTTGCACAGCAATATGCCTCGCGATAGCAAAGTGTACAATTCCGTTCCAACGGACCATCTACCCCGCGCCGGCCCCGACGGGTTACAAAGCGACGCTCCCCCTTCTCACAGCCACCACGCCCAACACGCCCAAGACCCCACGGGGATAAGCCCCTTGGACCTTACGGTCGACCCCGCTACAATGCACGATGACGGCTCCACAACGAGAATCCACTCCGCTCTCATCGGGGATCTGCGCGACCAAGTGCAAAGCCTGCAGGCGCAAGTCGTCCATCTCCAAGCCGAGAGCAAACTGCAGCAAAGCATTTTGTCAACCTTCACTGGTACCGTAACTTTGCTGTACCAGACGCTGGTTTCCACACTAGGTGGAGGGACGTCACAAATACAGGACTTTGGCACGACGTATAACCACGGAGGGGCAGCGTGAATGAGTCTCGACTGCTGCTGTTGTTGCAAGAGCGGTCGCTACCATGCGTGAACAGGATCAAATATAGGGCTAGATTTTCTCTGCGACTTTGAAGTCTGCAAGATGGCGGGAAAGAGGGATTTATTCGGACTTTATCGCTGGGTTTTGTACTGTACGTTATCACCCTCCACATACATTGAGTATTCGCGTGGTATGTGAGCGCCACGCCCGTGGAGTGAGGCAGATTGTCACGTTGCGGTGTTGCCTTTTGGCTAACGCAGACACTTATTGCGTCTTGAACTGAACTCTTTTATGAAAAGCTTAGCATCAAGTTCCTCGATGAAAGTTTCCCTGATTGGACACGTCAGCCTTGTCGGGACAAGCTAGGCCGTTTAAGGGCTTACAACGGTCGAGATTTCCTTGATGAAAGCAGTCCAGGCGGCTGAGACTCAATTTGTTACGAGCAGGTCAAGGAAACCGACTACGGCATAAACCAAAAGCTTCGGTAATGACAAGTTCGTTGTTACTATCCCCTGTTCTACACTATGCAGTTACAAGCCTACGGGGACCAACTGCAGCTGTCGCAACACAATTCTGGGCCACCGAGTGTCTCCGTCGTTCCATCGTCGTACACTGCTTGAGTTATCTCAAACATAGCCCGTCAGCAAAGACAAAGTGCGGTGAATCTGGCGGCCACGAGCATTCGGCACCCGAAGCCTCATTTTATGACTCTGAGTGATAGTTGCGGATGTGATTCCGTTCTCCTCAATCCTAGTAAGTACAGGGCGTAGGGTGTATTGCCGAGCGAGTTCTCCGAAGCCTTGCAATATAAGCCCGGAGGAGCTAATACTACCTCAAGCAGAGTGCTGTGAACCATGTGTAAACGGTACCTGTAGCACGTCCGGTGGAAAGGTTATAAGCGTACATGTGTACAGTATGTACTGCTTAGTTTAACCTGGAGTTTTCATGAAATATACACGGGCTAAAGGCAAGCGTGGTGATTATACCACGACCTCGATCAACCTTATGCCGCGAACTGGTAATCGACTTGACAAATACCCAGCAGAGGACAATAAGCCGCTCTGTCCACGGCGTCCGGTCAATCGCACCATGGGCACGAAACATAAGCTGTAATCAGCCTGAAGCCCCCCTGACCTATAGATACGCTAACGACGTGTTGAAGCAACCGTCTGGCTGTTTTTGCAGTTGAGACCAACAGTCATTCAATTATCACGCAGAACATGGCTAAGAAAACCGAAAGTCTACATCATCGATACAACCTGCGTCGCCCATCTAGCTGCCAATCAACAAGAAACAAGAAGATACAAAAGCAGAGAGACAAGGCCCAGGCCGTGTGGAAAAAGCCGCGCAAGGTTCGCGAGGCCGCCCAGACGCCTTCCGAGGCAAGGCTGTGTAAGTTTCAGCTGGCTCGTAGAAACACACCCACGCCGTCGGTGGCCTTGAACAACAACAGCAACATACGCGGCAGCCAGCACAGTGGCAAGCCACCCGAGAAAAGCCCGCTCCAGCTGAGGCAGGGTCTCTTGCCGGCTACGCAGCAAAGGTACGGCTACGATCGCTACATTCCAAAAGGATGGGGATGGAAAGGGAGGCTCGTCGAGAGGCTTGGCTACCTGTATCTCTGGTGGGATCTCTTGCGCCGTAGGCAGCCCACTGTGGCGGAGTCTTGGTTTTGACTGGGTGTCTACTGTCAATATATGTCCAGTTAGTTTCCGAGCCTGGTTGCGGCTGTGGCTCTTTTTACAACATTGTAATTGCACCTGAAGTGCCTGCAATATCACGGAAAAGTCATACGAGCGTCTGTTTGTGTCATCTCGGTGATTTCAGTTGGGTAGTCCCACGCTAATCTCTATAACACATACTACATCCGCAGTTGAATCTTGGCAGTGATTCCACCTGACGGCAGTGTCCACCACACCGTCCAAACACCATACTAGATATCCCATCCGGCACGGTCATCAACATGCAAGAGAGGCTCGTTGGAGCAGGCCTCAAAGAAGTCTGCCGCTCCATCAACCAGCATCTTGAGCCTCTCCTGATGCTTCCCTCTCCCGTGGTATAGTTGAAACGGCTCCTGGTCTTTGCTGAACCCCTCCTGTCGACAAAGCATAAAGCTGAGGTGGCTGTACCTTCCGCGGCAGGAAAAGTCTCCAAAGGCAAGTATCTCAAGCGACGGGATGCCCGTCGGACCGAAGGCCCATTCTGCGAAGCGCTGGAACTCAGGCTGGAGCAGGCGACAGGGGCCCGTGATGCTCCTGATGTCTACGTAACCATGCGGTCCACGGCCGTCCTCCCCGGGCACGCCGAAGACGACAGACCTCGCCAGGGTCGAAGGGTTACTCGCTGACCCTCCGTCATGATCCTCATACGCCCACAGATCTTCCACCTCCTCCACCATACGGAGGCCCCAGGAGTCGTAGCGTAGGATATCCCTTCCGGACTGTCGGACGTGGAGAACCTTTAACGACGTATGCTGCCTCAGCGACCGAACGAGCATCTCCTACGACAATCTGTGATCAGCATTCTTCTCCATCCTATACAGCGCGTGGACAACTGACAAGGTATAGGGGGAAGCAGGTGACGCCGAGACACTCGAGGTTCGTAGGCGGGGCGGCCGGAGGCTTTTGGCCTAAGACGATGTCTCCTATCGTGTCGAGGAGCGGCGGCTGGTTGGCATCATGTTCCGCATACATCGACTCGAGGTCGAGATCGAAGATGCGCACGTGGTAAACGAAGCGTCTAAGCTTTGGGTGGCCCAGTGCGGCATGCCACAGGGCTGTAGGGCGGTCTAGCAGCCCCGGAATGGAGATGTACAGCTCCTCAAGGCCCTCGAAGTGCTCTAAGAAGGTGACCAGCATTCGCTCCGGAAACGCCCCCGCAAACATATCTAATGACACCTGGATCTCAAGCAGGGCGAGGTTGATGTTGAGTCCCGACGTCAACCAATACCGGAAGAGGTGCGTCCAGCCCGGGCAGGCCCGGAGCCGGAGTGACTGGAGCTGGTCCAGGCATAGGACGGCTGCCACCCGGTCAGTGGCGGGACGCAGCGGCACCGCGCCAAGCGAAAGCCTCCTCAGGGCAGTCATCTGCCGGTACTCCGGCTGGCTCGGAGACGGCAGCATAATATCTGCGACAACGTTGTACTCGACGGCATCCCCGGCAATACTGGCCCAGCTGTCGTCGTAGCGCACGGCATCGAGCTCCAAGTCACTAATGATGCTGTGGTTACGCAACAGCAGACACTTAACGCCTTGCATGTCTTTCGGCGAACGGATGCCTACCCACGAAAGCCGTCTCAACTTTGGGAACACGTCTAGGACGAGCGGGTTTCCGGCGCGAAGGGAGATGCCGCACGACCCGTCTGTGATCAGACTGATGGACTCGAGACCGTTTTGCGCTTGCGGTAGGTACCCCAGAGGCCAGAAGACACCTTCAGGAAGGCAGGTTCCCACCTCCCAGCTAAGAGTGAAGGCATCCCTCGGTCAGCGTCAATGTTCGCCAAATGCCTAAGGTCGGCGGTAGTGACGAGAGAATCATCTTACCTGAAGCTCTCGAGGCGTGCTTCTTGCAGGCGACACAAGAGCTGTCCTATATTGCTCATTGGCTCCCTAAAGCTGCTGGTTCCCGCTCGGCTCTCCTCTTCGTTCAAGAAGTCCCTATCTAGACTTGCGAAATGCGGGCATCGGTAGTCACTGATGTAGCGTCGAAACCGAGACACGATCCGGAGGTGTTTCGCATATTGCAGGAATGACGTTGACTTAATGTCGAACAGCGACTGGATGCGCGCATTGGTTCCACCGAGGAACAGCTCACCGTGATGCAGCACGATACGTGCAAAGAGCAGAGGAGCCACAAACCCATATGCGGAGCGCGACACTAGGCATAGCGACTTCCAGTCCCTTGCGTTATCCACCTAATCATTTCATGAGTTACCACGTGCTGCTTTCTATGTAATAGGATACTGCGAGAGATGAGAGGAGCTAAGAGAGAGGTTGGCGCACAGTCGTTACTATGTCCTGTATTATCTCAGGTGGCAGCTGGAAGAGCATGTTGTAGAGAACTCATATGACATAAAATAAGTGACAATCTAATATGTTCAAGATAAGATATAATGCTGCTGAAGGAGTACCTATTCTATCAGTATGCAGAGAACATAGCTGAGTTATACTATACTGCAGCTACGATATCACGAAGAGCTGCATACTATATTGTGGATATCCTCCTGCTTAGTGACCAGGCTGAAGCAGTAATCACCAGCTCCAGCTCCACAAGACAAAGAATCAGCAAGCTCTACTATTAACATACATACATAAATCCAATACTTCACTTACTGAAACTTATTATAGTTAGAAAAAGGCCATGCTTATCGTTAAGATGAGATTGATTAGTATAAGAGAAGTGGTTGATGAGAGTAAGCTGCTTATTTTGGCCGTGCGTGATGTACTCATAAAGCTGGCTAGCATAGATTGCCCTACTTTGTAATCAAGCAGCACGAAGTCAACACCCATGCCTCCTAAGCTTAAGAAACAGCAAATCGGGCCTGGTACTGTGCAGTATCGATCACTGCCTGATGTCATATACGATAGCACGCAGGGCCTCCATCGTCCGACTTCGATGGCCATCTCGGCTAGCATGTCTCTCCACTAATGCATTCTGCTCTGCGGCGAGACTGGCGAGTACTTGGCTCTCGAGCTGCAACGCGCTCTCAATTCTCGCCATCTCGGCCCGTGTTTCGTCCGTCTGTAACCGTCGGCGTATTTCACGTGTCTCCAGTGCATATCGCCGGTATTCCTCGTCTCTACGAAGACGCGCGAGCCATTCGGGGCTCATGTGCACCCGCCTGTCACTTATCCTAGCCATGCTACGAATACGTTTTTGCTCGGGGTAAAGGGCGACAGGCGCTAGCATTTGGAGCTTAGGAGAGGGGGGGGGGGGGCGATCAATGGTTGGTTGTGTTGGTCTCAGACAAAGCCTCCAGACGTGGGAACAGTATGGCGGTTGGTTCTGGTCTTCTCTTATTCGCTGTGGCTAGGCACCCCAGATGATCGCCCGTAATACTCGCTGTACAGTCGACCATCCATACTTAGAAAAGGACGTGGAGAAAGAAGGAAGGAAGAGAAAGACAAATATGCACTATAACCAAAACTGAATCGGTCGTCTAGATGCAAGAGATGCTACACTACATGCTTACGGACCCGAGCACTCCTAAGTGTCCGTTGGTTCCACCGCCTGGTTTGACACATTCTAGTACAGCGTGTGGATTACCTTCTGCCGAGAAGACGTCAGCCAACTCTAGCCCAGCGGCTGCAATTACATCTCTCCACATCTCCTCCGTCCTCTCCTTCCCGCCCACAGTGAACATCAGCAGATCGAGCGACGCAGCGGCCGCAGAAGGTGGATCGTCGAGCACCTGCTCTGCAATCAGCAGCCTACTGTCGCCAGCCATTGCGTCCGCGATGACCCCCAAGATGGCAATCGCGGCCTCATCGTTGTAATCGTGCAAGCAATATCGAATGTAGTAGACGTACAGTAGGCACCTGCATATGTCTCAGTCAGCTGGTCTCGATAGAGGCCGGGCCGGACGGACCTTTAACTGGCTGCTCTTTGCGCATGTCGATGGCCATCAGTTTTACCCCACCCATCTCGTCAGCCTGTTTGACCTCGTTAATGACCACCTCCATATCCTGCAGGACGCACCGCTGCAAGGGCAGGCCACTGCTCGCGATGGAACGCGTCGCATGGCCGTTTCCTCCGCCAACATCGACCAGCAGCATGCGACGGCCATCATCCACCTTGGACGCCTCCACAACCCAGGAAAAGTCGTACAAACCGCAAACAGGAGAGACGGCTGCCATGGCCGTCATCGCTCGCATAAACACCCGCTTCGTCTCCGGATCCTGGTAAGCGACATCCCAAATCGTCTTCTCCGGCTGGCCATACGCGAAGGAGAAAGGCACAGGCGTTGGTCCTCGTGGCTCCGAACGACCATACTGACGGAAATAGTCGGACAGCTTGGCGTAGGACACCAATCCGTGCGTGAACCTGTGGGGGTAAGCTGAGGTGGTCGGGATGCACAACGGCCCGTCAGCCACTGGCCTTGACCTACATGACTTGAGTGAGGTCTCCAGTCGGATGACAGTTCAGGAAGACCCTTGATCTGTCGGTGTGTGCAATCCTGTCTCGACCGGCCTGCCGTAGAATGCCAGTGGACAGTAGCATCCACGCGAGGCGAGCTGGCTCACGTCAGTCGATGTAATTATTGTCTCCTGTTGCGTCCGTTGTACAATGCACGCTGGCCGCTGGAGATGCCTCGCCTCCAGCTGACTAGCAGAATCAAAGCCACGAGCAAGTTCTGTACAAAGGGAGACCCTACTTAGAAGATGCACGTCGCATCGTACGCTGGTCGCAAGCTCAGCGTATGTTACCGACCCCTCCGGTGGAATTTGCTGGAAAGCTCCAAAATGAGCAAACATCTGCTTCGCAACCATTTCCCCGATCTTGACGCAGTCGTCCATGGGTTCCAAGTGTGTATCACACCGCACAAGGTTGATGATAGCCTGGGCCGTTGTCATGATCGCTGCGCGGCTGTTTTCGCTCACGCCAGCGGGGGTGTTGCCCCGGAGCGTGTAGTGGGTTACATCGGTCAGCAGGGTCGTCGCAAGCTGTTGGAGCTCTGACATGTTCCCCGGACGTTGGGCTATTGGGCGTTGTCCGGCCGTACGGAGAGGCTTTGTGTAGCGAGAAAGACTGGACCAAGATTGCAAGGAACAGGAAACCAAAAATGAGGGAATCTAACCAATGAAGACTGGGAAGAAAGCGGGTGTAGACATGTTGTAGAAAGATGTTCTCCCCTTAAAGCCAGTTAAATAGTACATACGACCCGCAAGAATACACTGCCAGGCCGCCAGATAAGGGCCCCAAGGCAAATGACACGCTAGTGGGGAGTAAGCAGCAGCCAACTCTGCATCGCCGCAAATAAGCACATTAACCGCGCAACGCCTGTTCAAGTGCCTGTGGAGCATAGGCCCCAAGCGATGAATGATGGTGACCTCCCCAGTCTAGTTGCATCGGTGGTGGACCTGCTCCATGGAAAGGATGATGCTGGGGGCGACGGGGCGGCTGGGCGGGGGCCTATCACGAGAAGCCGCGCTTCGAAGCAACCTCGAGAGCTCACAACGCCTCAAAGACACAACACCCCGGCTGTACCCACGATGGAGACATTCGATGACCGAGCGGAGTATCCCGTCGAGGCCCTCCTCGCCAAAGCAAAGATCGGGCGTCGCGTCTACTACAAGGTCAAGTGGGAAGGCTACGACACCAGCCAGAGCAGTTGGGTGAAGATGAAAGACATCGGAGACGAGGCGATCGAAGCATTCAAAATGGGTGGAAAACGTGGTGTGTTCACCTTCGATAAGATCATCGCAGCGGCGGAAGGGGCAGCAAAGAACGCTTCGTATCTGATACAACTTAGACTTGGGGATCAAACCGACACTGCGGAGGTGGATGCATCGGACCTAAGCGCTGCAGAGATTGCGAGATTTCGGCTACATGGCGCTTCGGAAGAATTATAACCGTAAACGGAATTGACTTCCGAGTCCTATATAAAGGTAATGTGTCCAGATGATGATACAGCAGCCACATCTGTATCTTCACCGTTTTCGCAGCAGACCTCGACGAGAGTGGCTATCTAAGCCGGTCCAGTATGGGGACTATGCTCCAACGACCTAAAAAGGACCAGTAGGGGTATGTGACGCCAGGAAGAGTCATATGTCACAGCTCGCCTATTACTGTAAAGAGTTCTTACTGGCTGTTTGATAAGTAGATATTTTTAGATATCGGTAGCTATACTATCCGCAGCTGCAGCGTAGAGTAGGATATTTATAGAATTCGGCGTGTGCTTTTGGATGCGGCGTACTTAAGCCGAGCCTTCTTCACCTTTACACTACTGTATTTCAGGCCTCTTCGTAGCTCAACACTATGCTTCTGCCAAACACTCTCCAGCTGTTTTCCTTCGACCACGCCGTGCGAAGCCGACAGCTAACGCAGATTTGCAACCTTGCAGGCGCCGTTAACGTGACAGGCACGGCTGCGGCTGGGCGTCTGACTAGCGTCGTTGTTCCGTTTGACAATCAGTGGCAGTCTGTTCGTAAGTTTTACGACTGATTGAATGAGACAGGCTGACACTAAGCTGGGCAGCCGCTGTAATGGACGTGAGCCTGACGGCTGTATCCTGGCCTGGATTTCCCTCCGTGGACTGCCAGTTCCGTGGTACTATGGGCGACGTGTGCATTCAGCAAACGTCCTTTAAGAACTTCCAGGCGGTCTTTAGCGTCGGGCCCCCGCAAGTCATCACGAGCATAAGATGCATATGTGATGATAGCAAGATGCCACTGCGTGCTTAAACTGCGAACTCTACTGCGTAAATAGAATACTGCGTTTGAGCTACAACCTATAAGTAATAGAACATATACTTGCAGTCTTATTTGTCAATCTGACTTGTGGCGCGGACTTGCTAATAACCTAAATAGAAGTTCACTCAAAAGCCTACTTATGGAAGAGCGGCTTTCTACCACTATTGACCCTCTGTGGGTAGTAATCAAATTATTACACTAGCTCCCATCACTACAGAAACAGTACCATCCACTACCGTAACTCAACCAGTGACCATCAAGAGTGTTCTTAGTATGGTATCCGCTATATGTGCACATGGCGTATTCCAAGCCTCGCCCCGAAACAGGACTCTGTCGTTTTCAGCCACCCAAGCCCGGCTTCACGATCTTTTGACAGTCTCGCCTTCGTTGCTTTTAGCGCGAAAACAAATTGTTTCTGCGGCAGGACTCGGTTGGTCCAGGATCTTCCATGATGTCAGGAAATAAAAGTCAAATTATGACGGGGACATTAGTAGTCTCACTGTATGATTGGTGCTTCTCGTTGTCTCCTTTCGGGAAGATCTAGCATACCGCGGTAGATCTACTGGCGGACCCAAGATAGGCTCTTTCTTGTTGTCCTTTTGCTTGGGCTCCTTAGTTTCATCTAGCTGCCAATCAGAACAATATAACTGAAAATAAAGACGAATAGAAGACCCAGTAGCAGGGTTATTATCTATAGATGCCATTATAGTAAGGTGCTGCTGGGCATAATGTGTCTGCTCAAGTAAAGGAGAATCAAAGATAGCGAAGGTTATATTTCCTTGTGGTGTGGGATGCTTCACTCTTTATACTCAAACATTAGGGGCCCAGTATGTCAAGAGAGGGCTGAATCTGGACTAGTCCGTTGTGCTATTGATCAAGGGGGGCAACCTGACGAAAATCCCTCTTGGCCCTAGGCATGAACGGGGTCTGTCAATGTCACCAGACTAACAGGGGGCTTGAAACAGTCACTCCCAAATGAAAATGCTGCCTGCCGTTTTAGCAGCTGGGCGGACAGCCATCATGAACATGGTGATTCACGGATGTTGCCACGCGCCGTGCCACGATTCAACTTAACACTAGTGATATCATACATAACGCATGATATCTGATAGGCAGCAGGAATATCAGTGTACCCCAGAATATAAGACACAGGGGGACAGGCTCGTCAAAGTTCTGTATTATTTAGACAGACTTTCGAATCAAGCTACAGACGTCGCTTCTTGCCTATCCGTTTTGCATCTGCGTGCAGAAAGCGCTTGCGACTTCGCGTCGGACTCGTTGGGGTATCATCTGCATTGCCAAAATGGTTGTTCCACCCCTGGCTGTCCAAGAGACCACGTAAAGTGAAGGGTGATGAGCTGATAGAGACCGGCTCCCACTCACAACCGAGGCCGCTGACCCGCAAGGCGATGGGAAACTCGGCGTCGAGATCACGTACGTTCAGCTGGATGGACTGCTGGAAACGTGTGTTTCTATAATTAACGCTCTTTCTCTGTAGGGGCACTACCACGCCTTGGACGAAGAACTCAGCTCCGCCACCAGCGAGGGACATAATGAGGTGATGTAGGTCAGTGCCTGGGTCGAGGTTGCAGACGATACGACCCACACACGTCGTACTAGACCGGTTTTTCATCGGCCGGGCCGTCAGCTCGAAATAGAAGAGCGTCGACAGCAGCGCCCTGGTGACCGCGTCAATCTGCTCGCCGCCCTGAAATGCTGCCGAAGTTTGCGACCTTAGATCCTCAACAGCGTCCAGATCGTCCAAGGCGGGCACAGGACCTTCTAGCCTCAAATTACAGCGAAAGTCTTTCTTTCCGTCCACCAACGCAGGTCCATCCTCGAGCGTACATCGGTCATATGCAGCCTCGCCGTCCATGAAAGAATCGACCGCATGAAAAAGGCTCGAGACATAGCCACGTAGCGTGTCGAAGACGCCTGAGGGCCCACCCGCCCGTTTGGGAGCCTGTGCGGTTGTTGGAGAAACGGGCGACGTCGGCCGGGCGTCCGTGCGCCCGGTCCCGAGAGAGAGGGTCACACCCCGGCGGGCGCCGGGCCACAGAGAACGGCTCTCGCATAAGGCCGTCCGCTTCGGGCAGTTTTCCCCGCAAATCGCGCCGTCCTGCAGCTTACCTACCCGAGGGACAGAGTGGGGCCAGAAGACCCTGCAATGCACGAGTCAGCCATGGTGGTCACACTTCTCGGAGGGTGGAAGCTTACCCGGGAGCTGCCGTCGTGGCCCTTGCGCTTTGGAGACGTCAGCGTAAGCCAATAACATACTGACAGAATGACAGAATGGTCCAGTAGTACTCACGCGTCATACACACTAGCCCGATCGGGGGGTCCTGTGGCCCGGATGTGTTGGCAGGTGCCCCGGTGCTCATCGGACCCGGCTCCGTTATAGTTCGACAACAGATACCCACCCCGCGGCACGCCGGAGGCTGTGACTGCAACCTTTGCTCCCCTCGCCGTTGCTGCGCAATGATCCAGCAGCTTCTTATCCCCTAAGGCGTTTCGCAAGAAAGTGTCAATGCTCTCGGAGGGGTATAGGGAGCCAAATAGGTATATCGTCAGCAACCGTAGAGCGCGTCCCTGCAGCCATCCTGGTAAGGGTAGACGAGGACGAAAAACGCTGGCCGACAAGTTGCGAAGCATGTTCATGCAGCAGGACACCGAAAAGTCTTTCATGACTGCACCTAAAGCAATGAGGCCGCCTAGGAGTGATAGGTGTCAGCATCACATGCAGTGGCAGGCGCAGGACGAACATGACACGATACAAAGATGCAAGGATGCAGATAACAAGAGAGGGCAACAGCATGCGCTGACGGCCAGCGGCTTACCAGAGCTTGTACCCACTACTAGATCGAAGTGGTTTTGGACCGGAAAGTTGGGCAGAAAGGATGACAGCCTCTTCTCGAGAAGCTGCAGGATCTGCAGTGGAATGATGCCTCGAACCCCGCCTCCATCAATGCTTAGGACGTTGATGCCCTTGGTTTTTGGCTTGACTCTGTATTGCAAGGTCCCGACTGAGCTGAGGCACAGAGGACAGGCGTTGATAACGAACGAGTCAGGTCCAGCTTTCTCACCAAAGCGTCGGGCGTCAACAGCACAGACAGCATGCCCGCACGCTAACGCGTATTCGGGCGTTCTGCAGAGACAGACCAAGCAGTCTCGATCACTGTAGATGTTTCTCCACCGGCGCGCATACGCCCGCATGAACTTGTGCTGGCCTTCGACCCGTCCGGCATCGGTCCATGTGCGCCGTGGGCGTCGTGCAATTATGCTCCGCAAAATGGCCTCATACTTCTTCGGCATACCTAGCGCCGCCAGAGCTCCCACGAAAACGGTCTTGTACAGCGAGCGATATACCTGTTCGGGCGCGAATTCTGGAAGGTCAGCACGTGTTCGGGCGTAGACGACAGGGGATGGAATTGACAAACTATGCATTCCTGGAGGGAAGGCGTCCAGCATCATGGCGGAAGCAACGTGAGGTAGCACAAACGTGGCGAGTGCGGTTTCTTCGTTGACAAACCTGCGAATGAAGCGTTCCATCGAATGTTGCATCTTACGCGGCACCGGGTTGCGCGCTCTTGTCGCCCGCACAATATCGAACGGTTGGCCATTCACGTACGAGGTATACGCAGACTCGGCCAGTGTGGCAAAGTGGCGACTGTTGAAGAGGAGACTATTTGCGATTCTATGTCTGCGAACAATATCTGACTCACTCTTCATATGATCGCGCAGACGACCATACTGGTATTGGGCAGAAACGTCCACCCCGACGGGCAGAGCGTAGACGCCGACAGCCGAGAACCTTGCTTCAAGCATCTTCGCAGCCGTCTTCCTACGAATTGTGTCTAGCAGCTGCGAACGAAGTTTGTCCTGATTCTGTCCTGGGCTAGTTTTCACGATGAGCACCAGACGGGGCAAGGGGAGGGAATCCTCGTGCTGGTTCGGCGACCACGACGCAACCGCTTTAGCAACCATATCAAGAGCTGCTGAATCGGGCAGAAACACGCATACAACGTCCGTCAGGATGCCAAGCACGCCTGCATAAGCTGACACTGGCGCTAAACAATGGGTATCCACATCGTGTTTGAGTTGATCACCGATAGAATTGGATGCAGGCACGTCCAGGCTATCCTCTTCGACGGTGATATCGGCATACAGAAGCGGACGTTCAGTCGTGACATCCCCCGCCTGCCGATCAACGTGTAGATGAACATCACCGAACGTCCGCCCAGCCGGCTTCGACGTGGCCAGCCAGCGCAAGGCGGCATCTTTGCCCTTAGAACCGATGCAGCAAAAGAGACTGGGGTAGCCGCGGTTGCCCTCAAGCCTTTCGGCAAGAAGCGGAGTCGAACTGACAGAATGGACATGGTTTCTACGGCGGAGCTGAAGCCAACAGCTGTTTTGTTGGCTTCTCATGCTTGACGTAATTTGGGAAGGACTCTGGAATTGAAACAAACCGTGCAATTTGCAGTCCAATATAAGCATAGTGGTCTGGCATGTTGCGCCTGGCATGTCACTCTAAAATTTATAAATAGAAACTTTGCTTTGTTCTATTTCTGAAACTTCAACAAGCCTAGCCCTATTTCTGTACTGTAGAGTACTTGGTTGGGATAAAAATAACATCTTGGTACTGGGTCGGTACAGTATGATCTATATATAAAGTAGGAGTACTCTGCCGCTGGCAGCTTTTCTGGAATGTAGAATAACAGCGGACACCTCATTTCTTGCAACCAGATCAGTCTTCGCTTGCCGATGCCCCTTGAAGGGAGGAGCCGAACGGAGGGAGGCTTAGTAATCTACTCTTTTCGCGTCGAAATATATCCATCTAGTTTCCATCTTCATAGCTCTATACTTAGGGTAGGATTAATTTCAATCGATAGGAAGGGCTCCTTCTGTTCTTGATGTCGGCCGATATATGCCTGGCTTACGAAATGATTACGGCGTCCAGTCCTTCTCAGCCCACAGGCTTACCAGCTGCAATACACAATAGTGCTACATTGATTCAGGATGTACTGCAGAATCGAAGCCAAGTGAAAAGCCTTCTGTTGCTCTGTGGCATTGTTTCTAACGAGCCGCAGCTGCGACCCGCAGTTGTGACCCGCATGCCAGGAACAGACCATGCCGATTACAAGTCCGACATCTTGCCTCGCTTACCTCTCAAGACCCATCATGCTTATCATGAAGCGGACTCTATCATAGCACAAGCCAAGTGTGAGCCAAATTCTAAGTCGCTGCCATCATGCTTTTCGGTAGCAAACATCCATCGCCACCACGTCAACTTTCTGCGGCCCACTCAGAATGGCGTCCATGTTCTTAAGTCCAACGAGAAACTACATTGGGTTGATACACTCTAACCTCGGCCTTGAACACTGCAGCCCTATATTATCAACAGCATCACATAAAGAACTGAAAGCACGAAAGTAGTTCCGACATGGAGAGCCCTTATACAGACGATAGAGCTTTGGTGACAGATGTAGGAATCATTGGCGCCGGCTTCAGCGGCTGTTCCGCTCTCCACAAGCTCCGACTGCTGGGATTCACTGCAAAGGTCCTCGAAGCAGGGAGTGATTTCGGAGGCGTGTGGCACTTCAACAGATATCCAGGGGCTCGTGTGGACTCGGAAACCCCGTCGTACCAGTTTAATATCGCCAAAGTGTGGGAGTCGTTCAACTTCACTGAGCGGTACCCCAGCCACGAAGAGCTCAAAAAATACTTTACCCACGTGGACGACACTCTCGACCTGCGAAAGGATACAGTCTTCAATGCGAGGGTGAGGGAAGTACGCTACGATGTGCGGGCTAGAACATGGTCGCTGTCGACCACAAACGGCCTCAGATTGACGTGCCGCTTCGTCGTGTTCGGCACCGGAAGCCTGACCAAGCCGTACGTGCCCGCCTTTCCGAAATTGGATGAGTTCGCCGGGCAGGTCATCCATCCTAGACACTGGCCTGACGGCCTCGACGTGAGAGGCAAGAGGATCGGAATCATCGGTCAAGGTGCAACCGGTTTGCAGATTGTGCAAGAGCTAGCGAAACAGGATTGCGAACTGAGCGTGTTCGTACGAAGCCCATGTATTGCCGTGCCGATGCGTCAGCGAAGCCTACCTTTCGAGGAGACGGAGCAGATGAAGAATCTGTACGAGGGGATCTTCCTCAAGGCAAAGTACGGCTCTGCGTCCGCCCTCCCCTATAACCAGGGCTACGGCAAGTTTGGAGAAGCCACCGAGCTGGAACACAAAGCCCGATATGAACGACTTTGGGCCAGGGGCGGGCTGGCGCTGACGTGGTCCAACTATGTCGACATCATGAAAGACGAGGCGGCCAACAGCAGCCTTTACAACTTCTGGGTGCAAAAGGTGAGATCACGCATGTCAAACCGCGAAAAGATGGACATCGTCGCCCCTCTACGTCAATCCGAGCATTTTGGGTGCCGGCGGGTCAACCTAGAAGAAGACTACTACGAGATGCTCGATCGGTCGAACGTCGAAGTCGTGGACCTGAAGGCTCGACCGATCCGTGAATTCCACCGGGACGGCATTCTTGTCGGCCGTCATCTACCAGCTCAGTTAATTCCGCTAGACATCGTCGTCTTCGCAACGGGCTACGACTCGTTCACGGGTAGCCTCTTTGACATGAACATCTACGACAAACACGGCGTGCGGCTCCAAAAAAGGTGGGGCGCGGGCATCTCAACATATCTCGGCATGGTTGCTGATGGACTGCCTAATGCGTTCTTCTTGTACGGGCCGCAAGCGCCTACCAGCCAGGCGAATGCGCCGCCGTTCATCGAGTTGCAGGTGGACTGGATCGCGGCGGTCCTTCGGAAGCTTCGCGCAGAAGGTCTCAAATCGTTTGAGGTATCTGTTGATGCCTGTCGAACGTGGAAGGAGCAGGTCAAGTCCGAATTTCAGAAGAGCCTGATGAAGGAGAGCCGTGCGTGGTGGACGGGGGCCACCATACCCGGCAAGACGCAGGAGCCAATGATCTACTTCGGCGGGGTCAAGCAGTGGACGCAGGAGTGTCGACAGGCCTTGGCGGATTGGTCTCGGTTCTCAGTGGAGGGCGTGTAAGCAAAAAGTGAGGAACGATACAACGTTCTAAAGAGCGGGTAGGGCGGGATCTGCTATAGAATCCTGCGCGCGACCGATGAGAGGATAGAGAGTACCAATAGAACTCGTAGTAGCAGCAAGCTTGCTGATGCTGTTTGATCCTCTATGCAGTTCTGCAGCTGCGACGAGTCATCGTAAAACGTAATCAAACTGTGATACGAATGTGAAATTAAGTAAGCTGCGTTGTGATACTTGCGTGGCTATATCACACTATCCGTATGTTTCCTGCATAGAAGGGGTCCCATACAAATAGCACATGGCCACCATCGATCACAGCACACACTGGACCTACGAAGTCACGCTTGCACAGTAATATTATGGCGGAAGCTGACTGGTCTGCTTGACAAAGTATGTACTAGCTTCTGCTTGCCTCTTTCCCTCTCTGATAGTGCCCTGTTCTTCCCTCCCGCCCTCGTCGCTATGGAAAGCCTATCTAGGGATCGTCCTACCCGAAGACAGCCGTATCCTCATCCTTTACATTCCCCCTCAGAGACATTTTGGTTGTCGTCTCTCAGAATCCTGGATACGTCTCACGACAGGCATATACGAGAACTCGCGCGTGATCTGGCCGACGAGAACATCGGATTAGCACACATTCGCAGGATCACTGGAGACGATGCAATCAACCCTCATACACTAAGGACGACTGTACTGCCGTTCCTCGAAACCGTCTGTCACCCTACCCTTCTTCAATCCTACCACGGCCGAGCTCACATGCAGCGAGTTTACAGCTGCCTGTACGGCCGTGGTGGGTCTCGTATCCAGACGTTGATGACGAGCTTGCTAAACTGTATTGATGTGTTGGATGAAGTAAACATAGCGGATCCTGCGACAGCTAGATGCTTAGAATTGATGATCTCAATTCTTCAGGGCGTATTTGACCGCTATGAAACGTTTCGGGATGGGAGATGTATCCTATTGTTGAACGGTATAGAGCTCTGTCTGCTACGTCGGTGGCTATGGAGACAGCCCGTGGCTGGCTTGATGTCTTTGTTGCGACAGATGACATTCCTACGTCGACGAAACTTGGCGTGTTTGCGAAGGCGTTATCGCCATCTTTGAGGTCTTCATGGCAATTGTCCTCCTCAAGTCCATGCCAGAATAGCCGTGGTGGGTGTCGATAAGGCAACACCAGAACAGACAGTTACGGCAGTAGAATACTAGAATCATCACAAACGGAAATGCGAGGAATGATGACAGCAGTGAAGCATCTTGACTATAGAGCGAGACCATTCTCATTATCAACTACGAAACCCAAAACCATGCGTCCACGAAACTCAGTATCCCGATTGTATTCGTGTCACAAATCAGTGCCCAATGCCAGGTGCATTATCGCTAGATCGACCCAAGTACGGCTTGTCGCCTCGACGGGTCGCTGCTTGTCTCCGAGCGCGGAGATGGCCCTGCAGGTCGGCATTCTGGGTGAATGTTCCAAAAGCGTCCCCAGGGTTGATAGCAAAGACCGTTTCAGCACTGCAATGCCGCCCGGCGTTCGTGGAACGACTAAATTCGAGTCAGTTACACAGAAAAGCTGTGGGAGAAAGAGCTGGAAGCAGCCGTGTCGGATCCACAAACCTGTAAAACCAGAGCGGCGATGTCTGCTCTACCCTAAAGTCCACACTCAGAGCACCAGTAACATTGAGCGGTCTGAATTCGTTCGTTGTAGAGCTTGCCTGGCCCGAGGCAGTACAGGGCATGTCAAGTGAAGACTGTGTGATTGTCTGATTCCGCTGTTCGAAGTTGAATCGAACAACGTCACCTATGACCGCGTTGACTTGGCTTGGACGGAAAGAAGAGCCGCTGTTCGCGAAGACATCCACAACGTGGGTGCTTGGGTCAGCCGTCTCTGGCGGGGGAGCGACGGCCGATCCGAGTGGCGGCCCCGGTCCAGGTAAGGTGAGGGTCAGGGTCGTTGTTATAACCTGGCCATCAGGTCTCATCTCCGTGCGTGATTCAAGGATGGTGGTTGGGTACGGCTCCGAAGTGGTCGTCGTGGGCTCGGCCGGCTCGGCGGGTGGCTCGTTATCAGGAGATGGGTCAAGACCCACGCTCGTTGTTGGAACGGCGGCACAGTCCTGGCGGGCTTGGAGGAAAGGATTGTCTGCAGCCACAGAGAGCGCAAAGAGGGAAGCAAAAAAGTACGACGACGGTCTCATATCGTCTGGTTTCGTGTCGGCAGCGGCTCTCCCGAGGGTCCAAGTACGTGTAGACTGCCTTCTATGGTGGTCGCGCAGGCAATGTGAAGACATGCTGTGTTTTATACTTGGCCAGCGTAATGCGAACAGCTGCTGACCAGGCCCTAGGACGATGTCGAGCCAAGCGTCTCCTGCATTTGGGCCGTGGATTATGTTCTTGACCGCATGGGCGAACGCTGTGGACTAAGCAATGTACCCACATAGACTGTGTGTGTGTGAGGCAGTGGCGGCGTTGTCTGGTGTCAGCAGCTACCTCAATGTGAGCAAGTCCAAAGCCGGTATTATGGGAAGTACCGAGTTGACTGACACTGCTTACTGCGCTGCTGAGCGTTTGTGTTCGTTCTGGCGTTAAGCGCGCTGAAAAGAATACCTGCAACGAGGGGCATTAAATAATAGCAGGTAAATCGAGCTTTGAGCTGCATATTTAGATGGACAGTACTTAGAGGTGATTATTCTAGAGAATTTGACCTTTGGTACAGATATCATATATAGCCCAGAATACAGTATCTGGGGGTATTGCTGCGTTAAGTGGAACATGGAAGGTTTAAATAGATACCGTTTAGGTAGCTACAGCACACTTCATTCTGAGATCGTTCAACCAGATCTTTAATAGGAGCATCTTTAAATTCATTATTCTCAAACAGCTACAAACCTTTTCATCTTCGCTAGTAGCACCTTTCTTATCATTAGTAAGATCCGCTAACAGCTTCACTTCTTTCTCTTCTGCCTGATATCTTTTAAGCTCTGGGTGCATTTGAGGTAGTAAAGCTAACAATAAACTTACAATAGGGGCAAGAATCACTGCATATTTGTTGTGGTGAACTGATAGGCTGGGGAGACAGCTTCGAGTGAGATATGCATTGTTCTACTTTTTCTCTGTGGGGATACGCGTTATGCGTAGTTACAATTGCGTTCCAATGTGTGGACACATCACCTATCAGATGGGACACTAGTCTGCTCTACGAGAGGTCTACAGAAGTCGAATCGTTTAGGACTAGCACTATTGTTCTGTCGGTGCTGTTTGGTGTTGAAAATCTATTAATACTTTGTCTCCTTGTTCTAGCGTGGCTAGGTCTACTAAACTTTTTTGACTATTAGTTACATATAATTTTCAAAGATTCCAAAACCTCCTTTTTGTAGTAGAACAGAAATCAAGATTTACTATACCAGTATGAAATAAGCTTAGTCGTCACGCTACTTTGATTACTAGCTAGTTTACTAATCTTTACTCTCTGCTATTCCACGCCCACGCCCAGAGTATCCGGTTCGTAGCCGCAGAGACTACTGCACAACTCATACCTGCAACCAGAAAATCCCCCGCACGGCCAGGGTGCACTTTGATCCAGCTCGGGAGGCTGTTAAGCCTGGATCGTATAACCAAGACTGTGATAAAAGGACCAGCCGCTAATACTAGGCCACCCACGGTGAAGAGCCAGACGGCAATGAAGACATGACCCCTTCTAGATTCGAGCGTCCTTTGCACCTTAAGGGGCCACTCGTACGAAGAAACAAGCAAAACGAGCAAAGGCACGGCCAGGACAACTAAGCTCAGAGCCACCGGGCCCTGTGTAACGGCCGCAGACTGCGCAACGGATAGAGCTCCGTCGACGAGAACCGTCGCGTTCAAAACGTCTGGGTGTCGATCGGCAAGAGTCTGGGGAAGCAGTTCGGTCAGCCGCGGAGGCAGACCACCACACAAACGGCCAGCCGTGTAGCCTGCGCAGAATCGCTGCGTGCCCAGTGAGTAGTTTCGGGGAAGGGCGCTCACGATGTCGGCGGCCGTCGCATTGGTGTGATTAGCTGCTGATGTAGCGGCTGATGCGGCTACTAAAACAGCGGCCTCTCTCGATGTGTCCCGAGCGCGCCGGCCAGCTGCCGTGGGCTTCACCTCGAGATGATTGTGGATGCTTTCAGCCGCATCTAAGACCTCGCGGTGCCGTAAGACGCCCACTGTCGTGGTCCTATTGCCCGCGGTCGTGTTTGGTTCACCAAACTGCACTCGCCACTTTAGTACAGTTACTTCTTGAATTGACGACATGTTAGGCGCACTGACCTCGATCAACAACAGCCCATCTATCTGATTTAGAGGGTCGGCGAGAGACACGGCGACGAGAATGACGAAGCATAGGAATGAAAGCGTCGAAACGGCGTTCAGGAAGTGCTGTACTTGAGAGGGCATAGTAAGGAAGGTACAAGAAAAGGGAGACAATCGCTGCGTTTGTTTTCCACAAGTGAAGGGAAAGATTAGCGACTTATGTAAAGCGCGGCTTATAGCTTATACAATTAACGTTATAGGTCATAATGATATTATCAGGTCTGGCTTAGTAGTTTTCCTGCATTACTACACTACTGTGTCCATAACAGGATACAAATATGTCTTAGATGTTAAATAACAAGCACTTATCAATTTAGCGGTGTGTGTAATTGCTACTGAGGCCTCGACGGTCTGGCTTCCTGCCAACCTTCACATAAATATACTATCAACACCAGCAGATCCCTTAGTTCCGCGTTAAGTTCTTGCTGCTGGTCATCTCCACGTCATCTTCGTTTGTGACAACATGGCATCGGACAAAGACGACGATCTCCACCGGCACTCGAGCGGTCGGCAGAGTGTTGCTAGCTAGTGTGACTAATTCATCTTCTGTAGTGCTTATCTTGACGTCTTCTCCGCTACGGCCTTGTCAGCTTAGAGTCCTAGGTTTGCTGGGATTGCTAGGGATGATGGGGGAATACGGACGCGGATGTAGCCCGTCGCCGTTTCAGCGGAGGTGATTCATTGGCTGGCTGTGACGACACGCCCGTTTTGTGCTTCGGGCCAGTCGGTGGAAGAGTCGGGGGCGGCATGTCCTTGGTGGTGTTGGCCAGAGCGGAGACGCTGTGCTGAGATCCGTGGGCTGGTCCGTTTGCTTCGCGACCTGAAGACATGGCTGGCGTTGTTTTCCAAAGCGGCAAAGTCGCGTTTACAGTCGATGGCTACTTGCTGTATGGATGTACGGATGATCCCACTGGAGAGGCGCAAGGCCAGGTTTTGAACTCGCCTGGTTGCGCAGATGCGTAAGCTTTCCTGAGAGTTGTTTCTCCATTTTCCTCTAGTCTTGGAACTGCCTCCCGCTCAGAACGCCATCTGCTTACGCTGGATTACTCCAAAGCCTGTGTTTGTGAACGATGTCTGATTACATTGTATTATCTGATTGTGGATGACTTCTCTCTTTGTTGACCGCAAGTTGGCGATGATTTACTTCATTAGAATCATAGTTTCTCAGTTTCTCTTAGAGTCTTAGGCTGGCTCTTGGTTTACGCTTCGTCCCTCCCAGTTCCACCTTCACACGCATGAGCAAGCGGCCGAAATGGACGTCGTTCCCGTCATCTGCCAGGCCCTAGGCGCCGACTCGACCCCTCTCGAAGGCTTGCAGGTCAACTTCTACACGTCGACGTTGCACTACCAGACCACGACGACGAGAGACGGGCGCATTCAGGAATGGATCCTCATCTCCTGCGGTGGCCAGCCCCAGACCAGGATCCCGCAGCACGGACAGTCGAGGTGTCGTATCCACTTCGAGCTCGCCTGGAATAACCAGCGTCCCATATGCCCGGGCGCGAGCGTCGACTTTTGCCTCTTCGACAATGTGATCTACTACATCACGATCTACGTCATCCACGGCGCCTTCAACATCTACTACGAGACGGGACCCAACCTCGCCAGTTCCATCCTGAGCGGGCAGTGGCCAACAAACAGGATTACGGGCCACACACAGCAAAGCAACGTGGCGATGGACGAGACAACCTTTCCGGTCTTGCATAAGCTGCAGACAAGTTTCAGCAACCCGCGAGCCACAGAACCGGTGTTGGTGGCGGGGGCAGGTTCAAACGCAACTCCACCGGGCGCTGTGGAGACCAGCCAACAGAACACACCATCCGCGGCGGAGACGGCGCCGAAACGGGGCAGGCGGCGCAAGGCGGCCGAGGAGTCCAAGCAAGACGAGCCCAAGAGGGGAAAGCGGCGCCGAACAGCACAAGCAGGATAGCTAGGTAGTGCCGAATGACAGACATAATCATACGTGTAGATGCTCATTCGCCATCTTTCGGACGCTTTCGCTGCATTAACGGGCAATGTTGTCTCGCTGCCGGGAAACATAACCTATGCATGTAATATGTTGGGCCCTAATAGGAGAGTGTGCTTATCCAGTGCGCCTTGGCTGAGCTTTTGGGGACTCGTTTGACTGTTTACGTGCGTACAGTGGATCGCGAAACCGGTGTCTAACTTCGCAGGTCCATTGTGGTTAGTAAGCATACTATGGCAGACTTTCTAAGGCTTAGGTGCATGGCATATGGCAGGGGCACCTTGGCCCAGACCCGCTACATCTTTGTGGCAGCCCGAAAACGGCTTTTTGCAGCGTTCAAGGTAGGCAAGGTAAGCTTGAACGCACGAGCAGAATGGGACGTGAAGGCCTGGACGACGGTCGAAAGATAGGACGTCGCATTTCGGCCTGCATCTCTCTCGGTTTTTGGGGACTTCGACCATGGATGCGGGCTCAATTCGCCACGGCGGCATTTCAGCAGCAGGCCCGCAAGCCGATTGGCTCTCGAGGCGCAGCAAGCACCAAAAGTATTATAGGTGCCATAAGCTGCTTACTGCGCAGATGGAATGGAGGCTCAGATAAACGAACATCTCCACAGAGTTAAAATAGAAGTGAGATGCAGATGGTCGTTGCTTACATATGCTTATGACAATCATCCTCCGCCACAGTCACTTTGAGCTCTCGTCACGTTAGCTGGCTAATGAAATGAGGAGATGGGCTGTCAGCGACCTCATCAACAAGCCGGGTTCCCGGCAGGGTACCCCTGTCCCTATCCATGTGCGTAATCTATGGAGGGTATGATTGTGACAGCGGCCCTGGTCTCCTTCAAGTGGGACAGTGGGGTGTAATAGCAGGCTAAACCTAGGTTTAAGATAAGCAAAGGATATGCGACTGGAATATGTAAGCTGGAAAAAGATGAGTTAGAGTAAAAGGTGGGGATGTGTGTGATCTTATTCTTACTACACTACTACTACGCAGCATGCGAACACTCTGCAGCTGTCCCCACAGAGCGCTCCACTAGATTGTCAGCACGCAGGACGCCAGACAAAAGTCTGCAAGGCACAGCCTGCACTGTTCAAAACCAGCTTAGCTGCATCAGCAAGCAGGCTAGGTATTTGATGCTGAGAACAACGCGTTGCAACATAAGCTTGCATATAACGTCACGCAATTCTGATAATTATGGACTATGATGATAATCAAGAGGCGGATTCAGCGCTAGGGCCGTAAGCTGCGATAGATCGGAAACAAGCACCGCCGTGTAAGATCGCGCAATATAAGCGCTACGAACAGGTGGGTCTATGCGGTCAGACGGAAGAATGCGAGATGGAGGTCGGCTGGGCTGGGACCTGAGGCTGGAGTCTGGGGCTAAACTCCGCCTTTCTACGCGTGTTCTAGCGTTTGTAGCTAGCTTAATCTAGCTCCTTTACGCAGAAAGCGTTCAGCTGAGCATGAAGCTCTTTGTTACAGTAGCTACTATGCTGAAAATACCACCTTATTCTAGTATAGAGATTTGGAAGATTGATGTCCACTTTGTAAGAATGGTAGAAGGTGGGGTGTCTTCATAGCTGTAAGGGGCTAGCCCCTAGGCTTGTTCAACATAGAGGTGCCGTTGATTGGCTATTCTAAGCTGTAGACTTCACAGGAATGGGCGCCTAGCAGCGGTGAGGCGGTATGCTACGGCAGGATAATGGGTCCGGCGGGGCCGGATGTCGGTAGCTGCTCCGGCAAGGTCGGAGATCTCGGCCGGGCTCTAGCCTGTGATAATAGCTACTATGCTATCTATCTATAAGAGCTTTAAATATAGTATCAGGGTGATAGCTCTACTATAACAGCAGGTAATAGCATCAAAGGGCGTTGGTTAACAGCAAATAGTATACGTAATATGTAACTATCTCTTATATTCACTCAGTGTAAGTGTTACGACCCGTTATGCATGGATAACAGTTGACCGACCCACCCGGGCGTCGGGCGGCTAAGGCAAGGCATTTGTACTGCAGGATCACGGGAACAACAGGGACTCACTCAGGAACGGAAGAACTATGGTGCAAGTCACGTGACGATAAGAAGGACCGACGGAAGATAAGCGGTCCTGGCAGAGGACCGACACGGGGCGAACGGTCCACCTCCGGGGACCGCCCGGTGATCGTCGGTCCCAGAGCAATGGAACTGTTCGGGACTTGTATATAGAATGACCTGAGCCTGGCTCAAGGTCATACTTCCATAGCTCTTCAGCAATCAACTTTGTATTCATCCTCAGGATACTTTCAGCTTACCTACACTGCGAATAACTTGTTGAGTCTAAGACTGATCACCTTAGTGTTACGACCCGTTATGCAGGATAACAGTTGACCGACCCACTTGGGCATCGGGCGGCTAGGACAGGACCTTTGTACTGCAGGATCACGGGAACAGCAGGGACTCACTCGGAATACGGAAGAACTAGGATACAGGTCACGT